GGCAGGCAGGAGGGGTGACAGGTCTGGCGCCTTGTTGAGACCCGAGCCCCTCTTCGAGGAGCCCTGGTCTAGAAATTGAACCTGTTCAATGGCGTTACGTGCAAAACGGCTACAGACGCCCTGGTGCGTAAGCTTGGTCTCGGTATGGGTTTTAACTTGCCCGCTGTTTCTGAGTCAAGAGTGTCACCGAAAGGGGTTGTGCAGATCGGACTGGAGCAAATTTGGTTTCTAGAAGAGTCTTGACTGGCAAAGTGCAGAACATATAATCTGCTCATTTCATTTAGAGAGCTCAGGAGCATGGGGGCAGCTCAAACTGAAAGCCTTAGGGTTACTGAAAAAAGGTTGCTCATGTTAACAAAACCCCAAACCTGATGATTTAACCAGCCTGTTAAGAAAAGACCCTTTCCCTTTCAACTGCACAGATTTTTCAGTCTCGTATGTGCCCCCAGGATGCCATTATTCCCTTGCTCCATCCATCTTTCCCCTCCACTCCATCTACTCCAGAAAATTGCAGCCTCTGCATTGCTGAAGTTAGGAAGGTGAGCAAGCAAACCCCTTGGGGCTGAGGAGCCATGCAGCCCCTTCCCTTATACCCACGTGGAGTCTCCCATCAGGCAGGGCACGCTCCTCTGGCGCTTTCTGCTTGCAGAGGAAGGGATCTCCCAAGGGACTGCATGGCAGAAGGGCTGCAAGGCGCTTCTCCCGCTCCGCAGCCAACAGCTTGCAGCCCGTTTCCAAACCTGCTCCGCTACCTGCTGCCTCCCATCCCTGTTTGCGTTCCCCCAGCCTGCAGATGAACTCCTGCCGGGTCAGAAGGGGACAGGAGAACGCCAGGAAGCCATGGCTGCCCCCCTACCAACCTGCTACCCAGCACACAGTTGGAATAGCTGGAGCTGTCTGATACTATTTACATCATAAAAAGAAGGACAACAATAGGAGGGAAATTGTATGTTAAATGAACAAAATAGTGTTGATTCGTGTTCAGTCACATCAGGCTTGGAATATACAGCTAATGAGCACCGCAGAGAACAGCCCCTGGGGGGTCACTGCGTGCGAGCCAAGACACAGCACCGTCAGGGCTGGGGCTGGGGCGCTCGCTGCGAGGGAAGGCTCTGGCCGTGTCACTCCACCACCGCAGAAGGCATAGGTGTGGGCTCCTCCTCATCCAGTTGCAACGGTGTTTCCTCTGCCTTGAGCTGGCCTATATTCACACCCCTTTTAGTTGCCCTCCCTGCATGTTACATCCCCCATAACCTCAGGACACACAACACTCCTTAGGCTGCGTGTGTAACAGTGTTGCCCCCACTCCAACTGCACGGCATTTCTTCCTCTGCCCAACCTTTCCAGGCTGGAGAGTGCTCCCCATATGCAGCGTGCCCCAGCACAGCGTTCTTCCATCCCCTCACCCCCCGGCACTTCTGTATGCGTCCCCACACAGCAATAAATCCTCCCTTCTGGGGAGGATTTCGCTTCGCTCCCTGCTCCCCTGCCTCTGTGATGGCAGCAACAGGACGACTTGGTGGTGTCAGGGCTGGCAGAGGGCAGCAGAGCGGAGGGAGAAACGCGGCAGGTGCAGGAGGATACGGGACAGGGAGAATCAGCAAGGGGAGGCTGGAAGAGGCTAAGGGAGAAGGCAAGGACATGGAACAGAAAATGAAGAACGAAGGACTTAAAGTGCCGCAAGCTGCCCAGAAAGAAGCCTCAGTCCTGACTTCCTTCCCACCTAAAGGATGGAGACAGCACAGATGCTGCAGAGACTAAATACCGGGGCGTAGAGCAGCCCAGATATTGTTCTCTGGTTTGAGTGCGAGGAAGGAGAAGCCCTTTGTCACCAAAGAGCATTCTTGGAAAAGACAGGTTTAAATGCCTGAGGCAAAAACACCATGAAGATGTACAATCTTCACGGGTCCATACTAATGTATTCAGTCACTGTAGCCGACAAAGAAAGGACAAAAGGATAATGAAGTTTTGCTTTTACCTCTCTAAGCTAATGCCCTCAAGTATTTGCAATATTATTTGCTTTATTATGTAATTTCTTTGAGTTTATCGAAATATAGGAAATATTACCTTGAAAAATTTCCCCATCTGTCAAAAATTTTTAATAAATAACTTTAAAATATCATCTTACTTCTGATTTAGTTACAGTAGAGTCTCTCGCACTGATAGCAACAGGCTCTCTGGGAGGCATTATGAACCCATTAGTGCTGGATTCCTGAGGGCCAAATTCTGCTCTCGCTCTGCCTGCAGTAAGCACCAGGAATGCACATCCGAGCAGAATCTGGCAAACAGAGTGTGCTCACAACAAAACGTCACAGAACAGAACAAGTTCACAATGTATATAAACAGAAGTTTGAATCCATGTTTAGATGAACTTAGCCAGCACCATAAAGGTCTCTGCAAATTTTTCCAGTTTTCATTTCTATGTTCAGTTTTACTACTGGAGTACGTTACAGACTGAAGGGGATTTTGTGCTCAAGCACAACCTTCTTTAAGGGATTTTCACAAAGTATAATGTTTATCTGCTGTCTAGATAGGGCTATTTGACCTTCTAACCATCATTTTCAGTAACAAAACAAACGGAGTTTTAGCTATTGCCTTTTCACTCTTGTGTATTCTCTGAAGTACAAACTCCACCTTAATTTATTGGAGCTCAATATTTTGAATAAGAATCAAAAAGTGGTTATTGGGCAGGGTATCTTCAAAAACGTTCATAAAGTCAATAACATATATGGAAGTTTCTTACAGGAACATAAGACTAATTCTTAGCACAGGACCTGCAAGTAAACCTCAACTCAACTGTTAAATATTTGTCCTGCTTAATTTATGTAAATCAACAAAATTCTAAACATAGAGAATACAGAGAAGCTGCCAACACTATAGATTTTGCTTTACAGAAATGCAGATGACTTGTTCCAATTCCAAGTAACAGGGTAGGGGAAGTAGGAAGACATCTCTGCTGCTTTATTCATCTTTCATATTTCGCTCCTACTGTGTACCAGGAAGACTCACTATTTTCATGGAATTATATGGATGACCTAAGGATCAGGACACAAGTGAATCTAAGATACAGAAGTCTTAATACAAGTGAAAGCCAAGTGCAGCACAGCTCTAGACCGCATCCCTCCACCTTTATTTGGACGCTTACAGGTTTGATCCGGCAACATTTTCATAGAAAAAAAATGTGTACAACACGGTTTCAAACACACCGGTTTCCGAGGAAGTTTTGCTTTCTCAGGAACACAGACTTGAGCCCACTTTTCCAAGTCAAGGCATACAGTCATTCTCAATGGACCTAACTACCTATCATTTCCACTAAGAGGAATTCCACTCAAGCAACCAAGAGGAAAAAACTCACGAATAGCTTTGGGATAGGGGAGGGAAGAGGCAGATTGCCTTTTTTATCATTGCTTTGGCTTCCGCAATAGTGCAGAGATGAATTGGGCCCTAAGGCACTGCAAGAAAAGTTCACGCTCCTAATTACCTCCTAAGCATTCTTGCAACCTGCATCAGAGAGGAGCCATAAACTGGCACATTCTCATTACAGAAACAGCCATTTAGGATCAGCGCTATTAAAAGCCACTCTCACTTCCAGATCTTGCACATGGCAGCAAGGGTGATTGGGCCTAAATGAAGTACCCACAAAGACGGATTAGGAGTTAGCGGGCATGAAAGGAAGAGAAAGGTGTCCTTAAGAACCTTTACCTTACATACCTCTTCACAGGGAGAAATGTAATCAGCCCTTTCTAAAAAAAATCACAATTTTCACTATTGTTAGTATTGCTAATTGCATATTTTTTGAGGAAAAAAGGGTATTTCTTTTTCCTTGTTCCTCATGATCTGGAGCAGAATGATCTGTGTGGTAGGTTTTGATGGTGACGCTATACCACAGATTTTATGCAGATCTCCAACTGTGCAAATCCAAGGGGAGGGGAAAAAAAAAAGCTTTGCCCTTGCTCT